AGGGCGTTGACCACTTCTACAGCAGAGGCTGTGCATCTGGATGCAGCTGGTACTGGTTATGCAAAGATGATGGATGCTAGTATACATGTCATGCAACTGGTGCAGGGCTAAGGTACGCCTTCCTTAGAGAGAACTCCACGTATCCTGTCATTGTTAATGCTTCATTGAATAATGCAGGGCTCACCCTTTTGCTAAGAAATCTGCGCAGATTTCGCAAAGCTCTTGGCTATTCTCTTGATGATATTTCAGGTATTTCTCCAGACTTGTGCATGCATAGGATACATCTGGAGGATGGATCAAAATCATCAGTGGATTATCAGAGGAGGCTGAACCCGAATCTACATGATGTTGTCAAGAAGGAGATCATGAAGCTGCTGCAAGCTGGGATCATCTATCACATATCTGATAGCGCCTGGGTCAGTCTAGTTCATGTGGTTCCTAAGAAAGGAGGAGTCACAGTGGTGAAGAATGACGAGGATGAGCTGATTTCTACCAGAACAGTAACTGGACACAGGATGCGTATAAACTATAGGAAGATGAATGCAGCCACCAGGAAAGATCACTTCCCTCTGTCTTTCAGCGATCAGATGCTAGAGATGCTGGCGAATCACAGGTATTACTGCTTCCTAGATGGCTATTCAGGATTCTTTCAGATTCCCATCCATCCATATGATCAGGAGAAGACCACCTTCACCTGTCCTTATGGCATATTTGCATACCGCACGTATAATGCATTTTGGACTGTGTAATGCTCTTGCGACCCTCTAGAGATGCATGATGTCGATCTTCACTGACATGATTGAGAGGTTTATGGAGGTCTTTATGGATGACTTCTCGGTTTATGGATCTTCCTTCAAAGACTGTCTGGAAAACCTTTGTGCAGTTCTGCAGAGATGTGAAGAGAAGCATTTGGTTCTGAATTGGGAGAAGTGCCATTATATGGTAAAAGATGGCATTGTTCTTGGTCACAGAGTCTCTGGAGATGGCATAGAAGTAGATAGGGCGAAAATTGATGTGATGACAAACTTGCTGGCGCCTGATTCTGTCAAAGCAGAGAGGAGTTTTCTGGGTTTTGCTGGGTTCTATAGAAGGTTCATCAAAGACTTCAGCAAGATTGCAAAACCTCTTACTGTTATTCTCTGTAAGGATGTGAAGTTTGAATTGTCTGCAGAATGTCAGACTGCCTTTGAACAGATCAAATAGTCCTTGGTGACAGCTTGTATTGTGCAACCTCATGGGATTTGCCTTTTAAGATATGTGTGATGTCAGTGATTTTGCAGTTTAAGCAGTGCTGGGACAGAAGAAAGACAAGAAGCTACACGTCATCTACTATGCTAGCAAAACATTGGATGAAGCTCAGAAGAACTATGCTACTACTGAGAAGGAACTATTGGCAGTGGTCTTTCCTTTGAGAAGTTTCACCAGTACCTTGTTGGTTACAAGGTCGTGGTCCATACAGACCATTCAGCACTGAAGTACTTGATGTAGAAGAAGGATGCAAATCTAAAGTTGTTGAGATGGATTCAGTTTCTCCAAGAGTTTGACATTGAAGTTAGGGACAAGAAAGTAGTTGAGAATGGAGTAGCTGATCATCTCTCCAAAATACGGATTGAAGATGATGTCTCAATTAATGATTTCTTGCCTGAGGAGAATGTTTATTTGATAGAGACTCGAGTTTGATAACAAATTTTTGTGTGTGTGAGTTGTGTGTTGTGATGCAATGATGCAAGAATGTTATCAAACTCAAACACCTATATGTTGTAGTATAGAATGCAAGAGAGTATCAATCCACACCTAGGAGCTAGAAAGTGCAATGAGAATGCAAAGGTTACGCAAAGCTAAGCAAATGACAAATGATTTGTAAAATCCCTAAAAAATAGATGCAACGATCAAATGCAAAGCAAAACTATTTTAAAAATACTGGAGACAAGTTAACTACCACGAGGAACAAGCAAACTGATTAAAGTGCAAAGCTATGAATAAATAAAAATCGACTAGTGGATCGACCACAGGATCGACCACTAGATCGAGCAACAATGATCGATCTACAAACAGTTCGAAAAGAAATGAATCTAACGACCAAGATGCGAACAACTAGCAAGCAAATGATTAACAGAGATAAGAAAATACTAAGGAAGAGGGTCCAGGGTTGAGGGTCACGTTCAAGGGTTTCAAAGGTTCAAGCTTGGTTTGAAAAATTTAGATCTACTCACTTTGTGAGATTCTCTAGGCATTGAAAACAAAACAAGATCCATCCATGGTGTGTGGTATGGATCACTCCTTCATTCTCTTCTCCAAACCCATGACTTTTGGTGGAAAAAGAGATTGAAGGGCATAAAACATAGATTTCAAACACACGGCCTAACTAATCCCCTAAACAACCATGGCGTGTGGGAAATGAATGATTAGCCTATAGGATTCGACTTTCAGGGACATTTGGATCCTTTCAAGGTAAGACATCCCTCAGATCATAGTGATCTTGGCGTGAGAGTCTCTAAGCCTTAAACACTCGATATCCTAGAAGAGAAAGCCATGAAGAACAAGAAAACATCAAGCTTTAAACCTTTTCAACCCCTTTGAATCCTCTCAACCCCAAAAACCCGATGAAACTACTCACTACTCATAAAGTAAACCGAACAAAACGCAATAGATGATAGACTAAACATGAAAACGGTAGATTAAAAGCAAAGATTCAATATTCAACAAGTAAAAGCAAGAAAACTCAAAATTCTACAATGGCGGACATAATCGCCCAAAACTAGAGAGAAGAAGATAAAAAGATAAAGTGAAAACTGCCTCCCAAAAGCGGGATCGCCGCCTTCCCAAAATGGGCAAACAGTTCGATGGTCCCCCCCCTCGCTAGATGCCAAATTTGGTTAAAGTAGCCTGGGATCGACCTCGAGATCGGGCATCTCGCTCGATTGTCTTCGGAAATCGCGGCCTCAGCTCGATCAGTGTCTCGATCTTCTTCGGTGGATCGAGTGCTTCGTCTAATCTTGGAGTCGATCTATGGAGGATCGAGTGGTGGACTCGATCCGACTCTCGCTCTGCATGGCGTCATTTATGTCTGTACTCCTTGATCGATCTCTTCACTCGATCGTCGTCTCGATAAGTCTCTTCGCATCGACACGAGTCACTCGATCCTCTGGTCGATCTCATCTAGATCGACCTGCCATGCTCGATCCGCTACTTGATCTCGGGTCCTTAGCATGCAATCCTGATTTCTCCAAGTGCCCACGAACTTCCTCACGAGCCTTAGCACGTCCACAAACCTCCATAGCTCCAAAGTAGCCGATAACAACCTGAATGCAATGCAAAATGCAAGAAACATGCAAATGCTGGTGCAAAAGTACTCTAGGACCTAAAGTGATGCAAACTAGTCTAATCTGCAAGGTAAATGCACGAGTAACTACCTTATATGCATGCAAAACACACGAAATATGCAGCAATATCAACTCCCCCAAACTTGCCTTTTGCTTGCCCTCAAGCAAACAAAATTCAAGAAGGGAGAGAGGTTTTAAAATAAACGGGGGTTTAAGCTTCTTGCAAAGGTGCCTTTCAAATGAATCAATCTCAACGTCCTAGTTACTAGTTCGAAGATGCGATGCACACACTCATACTCCAAAGAACTTAGCCAAACTCATCACATATTGAATTTCAAATCATGACTCTCCTATTCAAAACTATCAAAGAATCTCATCCTTTTACATTCATTAATGATCAAACCGTGAATCAAACTTATGCACTTTAAAACAGAACACATTTGGCTAAGGGTGAAGGCTATGAGCATAGAATGATCTCATTTTAAAAGGGTTTCACAATGCAATGGGTTTCTCTCAAGAATGGTATGAACTTTATGCATAATGCTAAAGGTAAAGGCAATTGATGCATACATGATCAGATTCTCATCTACCCATACGCTAATCAATCATCCTAAAACCCCTCTCATTTCTTTTATTTTATGCTCACTCACCCTCTTAGATACTACCCTAATCAACAAAGCATTAGCTTAGCAAACCCCAAATCAAAACAGAAAACATCTTTACTCTTTAGGCTAATGAAAAGGCTTGAAAATATTTTTGCTCCTTATTATTTTCTTATTGATTGCTAGCGTGCCTTCAATCGCGCGCCCTTCCAGGTCGGCCCTCTTTCGGGAGTTTCATCCGTTAGGGTTTTCTTTCGACTTGACAGAGCTATCTTCTGAAATACTTAGAGCTTTATACATTTTGAAAACAAAGCCTTTCACTGAAAACCTTTTATTCACTTCAATCACCAAGACTTTTTGAAACCGTAAGAATACAAACAAGAAAGCAATCCCATCAAACCCCCAAACTTATCCTAAGCCTATAACAAGCTTCAAAATGCAAAGCTATCACTACAAGAAATGATGAACATAGTTACAGAAATTTTTGTAACTATGTTAAAAAATCTGTAGCTATGTATCGGTTGCTACAAATTAGTTTCAAAATCATTTTCGTAACTATGTGATTGTAGCAAATATTGATCTCTCAACACCGTGGCCAACATATGATAGTCTCCCGATACAAATAAAGAATCGCTGGTTTCAAGCATTCGCGGTATATATTATTTCACGTTGTTTCACTTTTTGTAGCTAGAATTTACGACCAGTTTGTTTCGCCTTGTTCTTTATAAGCCATTGTTCTTTATTAATGAAGTAAGGCTGTTTCCAGATTTGTTTTTTGAGTTTTAGCATCTTTTATCATTAAGATGTTCTTTTTTTAATTAGGTTTCTAATAACTTTTATTTTCATATCCAGCAAGAGTTCAATTGGGACCCAAGCATTACTGAAACAGTCCGCACTGCATACCAACTTTAAGCCACTGCGTCTTTTAAGTCAAACTTGAGTGAGTGGAAAAAGACATTGAAAAGAAAAGCACCAGATGACATACCAGCATGGATGAAGGCAAAGAAATCACTTTTCGATGGTTACAAGAGAATGTGGAGAGATACTAAAGTGGCAAATTTGGCAGCCAAAAACTCCAGAAACCGAAAAAGTGATAGAGGTGGTTTAGGAATGGCAATACACAACAACGGAGCCAAAACCATAGAAAGGCGATGGGATGAAATGGTAATACACAACAACACATGCCTCAGTTTATTATTTATTTGGTTATGGTTTCCAACGGTGGTTTATTAACTTATCATTTTGTTTGAAACTCATAAAAGACAGCTGAACTTGGTGGGGAGGAACCTGATATAATGACATTCATTGATGTCATGCACACAAATCTAAAAACAGGTGTTAAAGACAAGAAGGCGCAAAGTTTAACCGAGACTGCTATGGCTAAGGTAGCTCAGATTGCTTCTCAACGGCAAGCTCAAGAAGAGGAGCCCCTCACCCAAGCGGTGATTAATGCTGTTGTCCTAGAAGTAAGTTAGATTTTGATTGTGTTTCACTCAAATTGGCAAATTATTATGATTGTTTCACTTAAAATGTTATATCGTCAGGAAATCCCGAAGATTAAAGGACGTCGCTTTGGTGTTGCTACATTAATGGATAAGAGAAACACATCTTCTTACAAATCGACAGATGTAGCCCATGAAGATCAATTACGAAATGAGATTGAGACAATGAAGAAGGATCAAATAGAGAAACATGCTCAAATCCAATCTCTGAGCACCCAAATTCAATATCTCCTGCATTGCAACAAGCTAGTCCTTGAGAAGCTACCAGGTATTTGTCCTCCCTATCCTTCAACAACTCCGGCCGAAGAATATGATTCTGATGAGACTCAAGGTTAGATCAGATGAAGAATAAGATCAGATATTGGTAAAATTTATGTTTTATAATTTTTTGGGATTGTTAAAATATTCGGATGTGTATATATTTTTTGGAATTGTCAACATATTCGGATATTGTTAAAATATTGTTTGTATTGTTAAAATATTTGGCTTTATGATATTATTTGAATTTATAATTAATTAGAAATTTAACTTTCAAACCTAATTTAATTACTGTAATTAAAATTTTGTTACTCTCGTAGGAAATAAGTGTCACATGGTATAGAGATTGGTAGGAAAATAGTAGGAAAAGTTTTAATATTTTTGATAGGTAAGTGGTAGGAATAAACTATTGTTCCACCAATTTCCTACCAAATTTTTTGGTAGATAATTGTTCCACCAATTTTCTACCACATTTTTTAGTAGATAATTGTTCCACCAATTTCCTACCACATTTTTCTACAATTATATTTTGTTGGAAATTCCGTATAAGTTATCTACTACATTTGATTTTCAACAAAAAATAAGATACAACATAGTTTTATACAAAATTGGTAGAAAATAATCATTATTAACTAATTTCCTACAACATTTTCCATAGGAACTGCATCCGATCGGGTTAGGTATTTCGGGTTTCAGATATTTTTGCTACTATAGCTTTCGTACCGATTGGATATTATTATATTTTGGATTGGATTTGGTTCGGATCTCTTTGAATACGGCTCAGTTCATATATAATTTTTTGGATTCGTTTTTTTGGATTTCATCCGATTTCAAGTACTTTATCCAAAAAATAATAAAAAAATAACCAAATCTAACCAAATACTCCAATTTAACCAAAAATCTAAACATAACAATTCAAATATCACTAAAATAATATCGATTTTAATTTAACTAAACTTTAAAATTTAAAACAATAATAAATATTCAAATTCTTACCTCATGAATATAAATACAAAGAATATAAAACATAAATATTAAGTGAACTTAGAAATTCTAATATTTCAGATAATTTTTTGGATATCAGATCGGATCCGAATATTACTTAGTACCCGAAAGTTAGTAACAATTATATCCAATCAGGTATTATGAAGGATCAAATATTTTTGGATCAAATCCGGATCAGGTTTTCGGATCCCGATAGAATATCCACCTCTAGTAAATGGTGTTGATTTTGTAACACCAACTAAATTATAAAAAATTTGTAATATTTTATTACAATTTTACTACAAATTTGTTGTATTAAATATTGCTACAACCACTGTGTAGTAAAGTTGTAACATATATGTGACAATCCAGCAGTTGTCTCTAATCTGTCTCTAATTCGCTACAAATTCTTACCAATTTGCCATAATTTTTTTTTCAAAATAACGTCACTAATTTGTATCATTTTATAACAAATTTTTACTAATATTTTTTGATGTAACAAAATTTGTAGCTATGCTACTCATTTCTTGTAGTGTAGCAATCATATGAGAACCTAATCATGTCGCTTAAACGTAACACGTTATGCTAAGTTCAAACCGAAAAGAGGCCTCACAATGATGTCACACAAGAATACTTGTCTTGAAAGAAAGGTAAGGGTAATGGTGGGAGTTCTACTTAGGCTCACAAAGAGTGGTAAAAGGAGGAAGAGAGCCTAAATATGTGTAAGATCCATGTGTTCATTTTCAAATGCATAAGAATGATATTTCAAAATCAGGTTAGGGTTCTCACTTATTAGGACAAGTTTCAAATAATGAATGTTCAAGTCAAGCCACAAAAATCAAGACAAGTGATCCAAGCATGGTAAGGACTTACTTTTAAAGCGTGAGCAAAGCATTAGAGAACTACTAACTAGGGTATTGAAACAATTCATGAGCTTAAAACGCTTTTTTAAGAAAACTTTAACCCCTTATGCAAATGTAAACAACCTAGATGGTTAAAAATCCTAGACTCAATCCTAAAATGTTTAACAATGTGAATGCAACTACATGAATTTTTTTGAAAATTTTCAAAGATTTTACCAATTTTTTTGTTCGTTTCTATGCCTTAGATGCAATGAAGACTCAAGGGATGCAAAGAGAAGATAAAAGCAGAATAAACATGTCAAACCACATACTCCCCCAAACTTGAATGACACCGTCTCGGTGGCAAACAAATTCGAGAGAGTTCAAAAACACAAAGAAAAAGTTAGAAAATATGAGCGGTATATACAATGGAAGGTTGTTGGTACCTCGGATCTAGTCTCGGTTGGAACTTGAGGATGTTCCAGACGAGCTAGATACTATTGCTTTGCCTTTGGAGGCTGGTTCTTGGAGAGAAAGACGCGCCGGCTGGATGTTGCTTCCTTGAGTCTCACGGATGACAACTCCACCGGTTGAAAGCCTCCTCTTCTCGGGCTGTTGAACCTCCTCACTTGCAGCCTGCTTCGGCGAAGCTCCTTGAAGCGCCTTGACTTTCTTGGCAAGCTTCTTGATGACCTTGCTTTGCCATTTCTTGATCTTCCTTTGCATCTCCACAATAGAAGCAAAGAACTTTTCTGTCTTAGTCTGCGGCTCAAAATCGATCTTGGGAAGGACAAAGGCTTCGGGCAGCTCATCATCTGTGGCAGGAGACTCCTATCTTGGCCGAGTAGCTTGGCGAATGGCGGCTGTGACTCCTAAAGGAGCCATACACTCCTCTACGCTTGGGAGAAACTCGATGTTCCCAACTCCAACCATCTCGGTTTCGAGTTTGTTTGGCAGGATACACACCTTCTTCTCATTCTCCGCGTCAATGAATAGGTATTCAAAAAAACCCTCAGCTGGCGTGCATCCCAAGCTGTCTGTGTTCCTTAGGTATGTCTCATCCATGAAAGCTCTATCTGGAACGGGAGTGAAGTTCTGAAGCGGGACACCGGCTTGCACGAACAAAGGCGTGAGGAAGCCTCCAATAAGTGACGAGCTTGCCTTGCATCTCAAAGCATACGCCTTGTATTTCACCAATGAAGCAGCAAGGATGCATCCGTAGTTCACGTCATCTCCGAGTTGGTCTTCCAACGGCTCATCATTCCCATCCGGGTCACACACGAGATGCTTAATGCCTTGGAACAAGAAGCAAAGCTCCGTCTTGGTGACCGTGGGGGCTACTGACCATCAGCTTCAAAGTGTAACGCAGCACCAGACTCCTCACCCTCTTGATCTTTGCGGTATTCGCCTTGTAGTCATCGTTGGCTATGAGGTCCCAAAGATCGTTTGCTTGAGTGAAGGAGGGAAATTCAACCTTTGTGGCAGCAGCATTGAGGCCATAAGCTTGACAAAGCTCGGGGATTGAGAGGCTGAACGCTTGGCGTTTGATCTTGAAAGAGAGGCGGCCTTGAGATGGAGTTGGGATGTTAGGATTCTCATACGCAAACTCCAAAGTGGCAAGGAAGTCGATTGTCACTTCGGTAAAGGTTGGGCAATCCATCCGTGCCAAACACCTGAGCCCTACTTCTGGAGGAGTTCATAAAATTCTCCCAATATCCCCATCTTAGACAGCAAACCTCTGTCCGCAAACTTTGTTGGCTCGAACTTCAGCCTTTGAAGCCGTTCCTTGTCTCGTTTCTCCTCTTTAGACCATCAGACCCTCTCTTGAACAACCACTTCTTGTCCTTCTCCCTTTTGTGTCATCTCTTCTCTCGTTCTTTTGGGAGCCATGGCGCCTGGAACAAGATTCTCAAACAAGAGAATGAGCAAGGCAGCGAAAAACCGAGAAAGAGACTAGCAAGAAGGTAAACTTATAACTAATACCCTAGAATTTTGGAGAATTTATAAAAATCCTAGCAAGATAACAGAGAATAAAATCTAGAGTTATAGTTAAATCTAGAATTTTTCCTAATATCAAGCTAGTTTTACAAAATATAAACCGTCCTAGCATCTAAAACAATCAAAGCGAATTAAAAAGAATTTTCTTAAAGATTTTCTTGAAGATTCGAAAATACCTTTGAAAAGATTGTATGAGATTGCTGTTAGCCTTTAGAAAATAAAAATTCACACTCTCTTTTGCTTAAGAGCTCGCGAAAACAGAAATGGGAGAGTGTGAGTGATGTTGGAAATATAAAGGCTAACAATTTTACGAAACTATGGGTAAGAGAAGTGGTTTTCTGACAAAAGCTGTGGTCAAGGCACATTTTTCATAGTCAAAGATGCTTGTCTTGACCATTTTTTAAATTTAAAAACCAGAGGGAAAACAGAAAAGAGGGAAAAAGGAATTGTTACCTCGGCACGAGATCGAGTCCGGGGAATAGCTTGAGCCTTGAATTGTAAAGCAGCACCAAACTCCCTTCCTTAAGCTCCTTGGGTACCAACTTCTTGTCATGAGCAGCCTTAGTGCACTCCTTGTAGATCCTAGCGCTTTCGTAAGCATCTAGCCTTAGCTCATCAAGTTCGTGTAGCTGGATCAAGCGCTTCTCCTGAGCTGTCTTTAGATCAAAATTCAGCCGCTTCACGGCCCACAATGCTCTATGTTCCAGCTCAACGGGGAGGTGACATCCTTTGCCGTAGAGAAGAGTGAAAGGAGTAGTATCTATGGGCGTTTTGAAAGCAGTCCGGTAAACCCACAAAGCGTCGTCTAACTTCACTGCCCAATCCTTCCGAGTTGTCCCAACTTTTCTCTCAAGTATCGCCTTGATCTGCCGGTTAGAGACTTCCACTTGGCCACTCGTTTGAGGATGGTAAGGCGTAGCTACCTTGTGCTTCACGCCATACATCCTTAGAAGGTTTTCAAACAACTTGTTGATGAAATGACTTCCTCCGTCGCTTATCACCACCTTGGGTACTCCAAACCTCGGGAATATGATGCTCTTAAAGAGCTTGATCACTACCTTAGAGTCGTTTGTAGGGGAGGAAATAGCCTCAACCCATTTAGAGACGTAGTTAACAGCCACTAGGATGAACTTGTTGCCATAGGAAGATGGGAAAGGCCCCATGAAATCTATGCCCCATGCGTCAAACACGTCTACCTCAAAGATAGGAACCTTAGGAAGCTCGTTCCTCTTCGTGATGTTCCCTGCTCGTTGA